AGGCCTGGCCTTGCCATGGGAGTTCCCTTACTAGTGGGCAGACAGGCATATAGACAGGCAACTGCAAAACAACATGGAAAGTACACGGATGGAGGTGGACCCAAGGTGCCGTGGGAGCAGCGATCAAGGACCCCAAAGTTCACCCTGGAAGGCTGAGTCCAGGCTTCCTAGAGAAAGAGATCCAGGGCTTACAGAGTTTAAGTAGGAATTTAAATGCCCTCTCTGGCATCCCAGAGCCTTCTTAATTGGTCCCTTCTAACCCTCCAGCCAAATCTCCCACTACTCCCAACATAACTCCCCCCCACTCCTACTGGACCAGTCTCCTAACTGTTTCCTTACCAAACCCGCTTTTGATCCTGTCTCCATGTCCTCTTCTCCCATGGCATTCTCCATCAGGCACCCTCCACCGGGACAAAACAAAACCCTGTCTGCATGGTAAAGTGTGGTTTTCCCACGTCTGTGACCAGTGGTCCTACTCTGGTGCAGCCTCATACCCCCTCTCACACAGGAACGCATTTCTAACACACGTCCAGAGAGACGGCGGCATTACTCTTCCATATTTTATCCCTGTTTATTCTCTTTTTCTTATCACTCCAACAAAACCAGGAGTACCTTAAGTATGAAAATAGTTCATAAATTTATTTTATTTGTTCCACAACACCTGGCAGAGTGTCAGCCTAAGCAAAATATAAGTGGTCAAAAATCCACTCTGAATCACATTATTTCATCAATGCCTTCTCTGCTTTATCTGATGTGCAATAAATCCATTTTATGAAATTTTAGAAGTTCAAACAACCGAGGAGGGAACATTCTTACTTCCGTCAGCTAATTTACTAACTGAAACCGAGGAGTACTACATGAGAAATAAACTAGGTTGGTAGAATTTGTGTGTGTGAAGAAAATGTGAGCCATGGAAGAAATGACGCATTTGGTTTATAAGCAGTCTGTGAATAAGGTTCTTGTACTTGCTAAGCAGTAAGAAAGCAGTATATTGTTGAAAGGGAGAGTATTCAGGGTAGAGTACAAGTTTGAAAACAATATGAGAATAATTGAATGGCCTTTTTTGTAAGGAGGTATTAGGTACACTGGTATCAGTCGCGTGCGAGGAAAGGATTACACACATATGTGAATGTGCATGCACATCCACACACTAAGAATACTGATAGCAGAAATGGCAACCAGGAAAACAATCTGTTCATACCGCTAATGATTAGGCATTTTCAAATTCAGCACTTCTTTTTATTTTATCTTGTTTTTTTATCTGTTTCCCTCACACTATTATTTCTCACATTGTTACTTTATTTGGTCTGTTCTGCCCCATCTTCTTCCCATACTCCTTGCTCTCTAACAAACAAAAACACCACATGCTTTCTCACTCACACACCTCAATCGTTCCCTGCACTTTGCGTTCAAAGTATGAAACCAACGACCTCAAGAAGCTGTCTGATGGTGATACCATTAATTCACTAAACCAGTGAGTGGCCTTCAAACTTTTGCTCATGAAACCTAAAAGAATTTTGGGAAAACATATATATTTTGGGATGTGTGTGTGTGTGTGTGTGTTACATATATATATACATACATATGTATATATAATTCAGGAATTATAGTTACAAGTATATTTATATATACATAAAATTCAGGAATACATGTACACATATATTTATATATACATTCTGTGCTTTTCATCAATTTATTGCCTCTCTGTCCTCTAGACTTAGCTACTCTGCTAAAACGGAGCCGGGACCTTTAAATACTGTTTTCTTTGTTGGCTAACATGATATTAAACATTGTTAGCAGAGGGCACAGAAAAAAGACTGCAGAAGAACAAGGTGTGGCTGTCCTAGGTTCGGGACGCTTGCTCGACAGGCTTCTGTGGAGCGTGTGGCTTCTCCACCCGCTGGCGTCTGCAGTGCCGCAGCTTCTCTTCTAGGCCCTTGCTACACAGGGGGCTCCTCCAAATCCAGGCTGCCGCCATCCGAGTGGCTCCTCCAGCCCCCGGCCCCTAACACAGACGGCTTCCCCGGCACCGGGCCTTTGCAGCACGCACCACTGCTCCGGTGTCAGGCTCTCCTACAGCACGGGTGGCCTCTCTGGTGCCAGACGTCAGCAACACCTGGCAGCCAGCAGCCTCCCCCGGCACCCCAACCCAGGTACTTTTGTAGTGGAGTAGGTACTCCACAGTGAGACACCCCCCTGTAAACAGTTTTCCCCAGCACTTCGGAGGGTAGATTTCCAGCAAATGCCAGAAGGTGGATTTCCAGAAAGTTGCACAGTGATGGCACTGCAGTGATTTCTCTGCTATTTAGCGAGGTACAGCCATGCCCTCTCCAATAAGACCCAGACCTCAGCCCCTGGGAGAGGCGTGTGGGGAGTGTGGCACTCGGGGGTGGGGGTGGGGGGGTTCCCTGGGCCCTATCTCAGCCCTAGTGGTCATGATTGCTTCTTATATTTGTGAGTTCTGTATTCTTTAGAATTTCTATTTACTCTCCACCAGCCAATCCCTCATTACCACCATCTTCTGTTAGAGGGAGTCATTCTTTAAATTATACTTTCCTGTTCAAATTACTGTGTGGTTTACGGACACATACTCCCTTATATATTTTAAAGTAACCGCTAACATTTTTTATCAAAATTTAAATAATTGAAAAAATAAGTGACTTTTCTGGTGTTCTGTAAATAGATTACATGCTTAAAATACATTTTTGTCAAAACCTTAAAAAGCTACATATTTAGGTCATTTAGTAAGTGGAGAAGTCCACCATAGAACCTCATTTGCAAAAGGAGTTCTCTCTCTCATATCTATCAATCAAATCAAACTATCAAAAAACAAGAGTTTCATTTTTAAAACTTAAAGAAATATGTGGATATGTATTCTCATGACAACCATGTCCCTTAAGGAGATGGGTAGGAAATGAATAGATAGATGCCAGACAAGATGGAGACAGAGATAAGCAGAGAGCAGTCTCACCAAGATGAAATATTATTTCAATATTTTAAATCAGTTCAATATTTTTCAGTATTTTTTTGGCCTTGCTTTCACGGGTTTCCCCTTCAAAGTAACACATTCTTGAACTGTCATTTTGCCTGACGCCTTAGAGATGCTATCCCAGGACAATAAACCATAGTAAAATTTGGGATGGGTGAAAGGTATGACATCTGTAAAATGGGAGAAGGGGATTATGATAGAGGAGATAGGAAGAAAGAGGCGGCCGACCACAGTCTCTCTCAAGCACATTGGTCTGAGGGAAGCCTACACACAGAGGTTGAGGACCAGAAAATTGATTCCCTCAAAACTGTGCATGCCCTGTGGCCCCTGGAAAGTCCTGGTGGACACCTTGCTGCCTGCAGTATGAAGCAGCATGAGGCCAATGAACTGATGCATTCTATAATGAAGGCTAAAGCATTCCACCCCCACCCCCACCCCCGCTAAAATTGACAAGATGAGGAGAAGCACACAATTTAAAAATAGGGGGAGGGAGAAATAGAATAAAAATATTAAACCCTATTCCTTAGAAACTTAGAAAAATAAAAGCTTTCCTACAAGAATGCTAAAGGAAATAGACATAATATCATATCAAACGAGAAACTCCCTGAATCTCACTAGTACCTATGTTTAAATAAAGGTTTGCAGGATTTGTGACTCAAAATCTCACATGGGTTAAATCCTTCATTTATAGTGGTTCTGTTTCTTATTTAAAACAGTAAGCTTTCCTTAGATCCACTACTTTACTGAATCACATGATAGAGAAAGAGATGGAGAATCTTAAACAAAGGCAAAGGGGATGTGGCCAATTTTTACCATTTGGGATATTAACAAGTTTAACATGGCTCAGCAACTATCTTAAGTGTTATATCAACTATTATGACACAAGCTAAAGGTGTTGAAATATAAAGATGTGTGTTTTCTGAGAGGAAGGAAATGGGTGACAATTTGAAGGGGTAGTTTTTTTTAACATGAAGAATAAATACATAAGAATTCAGAACAGATTCTCCACCAACACTAATGTGCAATAAGGTTTATGCAAGTTAAGAAAGGTTTTAAACTTTTAAAAAAAATCTTAAGGAAACTACTGTTTCCTGTTATTTCTGGAAAATCTGTAAATGCGAGTGCTTTAAAAGGGAAACATTTATGGAGAGATATTAAGTATGGTTTACATGCTACACATATCAGATTCTTGTTTGTTCATTTCCCCTAAGAAATGTGTAATTCAGCTTTAAATAAATGACATTTACCCTCAATTCAGGTTTCTGTCTTTTCATTCCCCTAAATCAGCATCCCCAATGGGAAGTACAGGGCTTCTAGGATTTTCTACACCTAGATAAATAAATTTTGGTGAGCATTTTCCTTTCTCGAATAAGATCCATCACCTCCAGGATACGCTGTCTGAATGAACTATTTTGGTGAAAAAGCCTACACATTGCTTGTTTCATAGTAAAGTGCTGGGAATCCTTAAAATAAAGAATGTGGATCAATGCAAAGCCTATTAAACTCACATTACATTTTGTTTACATATGTATAACTATCTGTTATGATTCCCATGTTACTTTCCATATGGGTACTGCACTTCATTGCAGGAGTGTGAGTAATCGACTCAGTGGATATCACTCAGTCTGAAGACTACAGCCCAATCGATAAATTCAGGGCCATCACTTGATAACAGAAAAATCAACAATCACATACGCGTTTCTATGCCCACCAAAGTCTCTTTCACAGCCCTTGTGAGCACCATGGTTAATTGTGATGGACAAGTTAACACTGTATTTTAAAGGTCCAAACAGTGCAAAGTCAGCCAGTCCACCAAACTGGTAATTTATTATGAAAGTCAGTAATTACTCTTGTGGGGAGAAAATAGAAAGAAAAGAAACAAGGACATTGAGTAGTCTAAAGATTCTTTTCTTTTTTTAGCAGTACTATAAAGATTTTAATGTGAATGAGTAATAACCAGTGTGTTCCCATCTGTGAAGTGTCCCTATCCACAGGTTTTTAACGTACTTACTTGAACAATGGAGTTCCACAAACGACACATTTATATATTCCAGGATCTTTGTGATGTGTATATTCTCCTTCAAAGGCACTGATAAACAATAAACAGGGCATTAAAAGATGAAACAAAGTTAGCATTATTTCTTACAGAATGTATTTGCTTAAAATATGTTTCTCTAATAAATCTCTCAAGGGCTTTGTGTCCTAAAATGCGAACAGACCAAACATGGAAATCTGAACATTACTGATATATTTCAAATCTATATAATAAATGTGCATATAACTACTCCAAACTAAATAAAGTTAAATAAAAAAAAAAACTCAAGCCATCTAGTTATGTAATGCTTAGAAAACATTTTTGCTATTTAAAAAAAAAAAAACAGCTTGTAGTTCAGATTCACAGAAAAAAAAAAACACCTTACTACACAAGATTTCTGACTACTCTACAGTGTCCAAAGTGTATACTCCCAAATGCAGAAGAGTCCAATACTTCAAGTGGAAGGAGTCTTATTCTTTGGTCTGAAAAGGAATATTGTAGCTTTAAGGGAATATTTTTCTAAGTTAACAATCTTAAAGGCTAGGAGGTCATTCCGCTAATGCAAATCAGCTGTGCTAGCCCAACAAAAAGTCTATGTGCTCTGCAGCTTGTTTTTATTATCCTTTCACCCTCTTTATGAGGTCCAATTTTTTTATAAACAGAATTTTAAAGAATGACCTAATCTCTAGTTGTTTGTGTGCATTCAATCATTTTGCGAGTCATGTACACAACCGGACGGGTAGAGGTTCTCCTGGGCTGAGCCCGGAGCCCACCACCAGCTCGTTGTGTGGTGAGGGTAGACTCTGTCAGAGATTGAACATTTGGCAAATTCAGTAAACAGTATATACTGTGACAGGAAGAGAGCGTTGCCTATTAACGAGGACCCCATGTGTGGTAAAGAGCTCTTTCGGTTCATGAATGAAAACAAGAAGTTACATCATTAATAAATTTGGATCAGAGGTAAGTTACGGCCTTATGCCAGCCTCCATGGTATAAATTAAACAACAAAATGGCTGGACCTTGGCAAGTTACCTTTGAGCTGGAATCAGCTGAGAGAGACTTTATTCACTAAAAACGTCTTGGAAGCGAACAAACTCTTTTTTCAGGACTTGGGGCGAACTTCCAAGGACCAAAGCCATGTGAGGGCAGTTATTGAAAATTTTTGACATTCCAACCACAAATGAGCCAATAAATACTTTCTCCACATGTGCTTCAAAAAGAAATTGGAGTGGGGTAGAAAGGAACTAAATTATGCTACCTTCTTTTTGCAGCCAAAACGTCTATACTTACAATGGCCACCTTCAAAATTTCAGCATCCTGGCACAGTGCCATGTCCCTCATGGTTTTGCTTACTGTGATGTCTTCCCAAAAAATGTACCTAAATCGCTATTACTTCCACACATTTTGTAGTAAACTAAAAACAGGCCCTTAATAAAAGCCTTGTGGCTTTACATAAGATACAGTGTTCATTAAATGGGGGAAAGAATAAATAAAACTTAGTCTTAACCTAAACAATACCATTTTCAACCTTTTCAAGGATACCGATTTGTAGATTTTAGCAAATAAGTGTAGCATTCTTTAAATGAAATGGCAAGGAACAGGATTCAACGTGAGGTGGGGGGGGGGAGGGGTGAAGAAAACTAGCTCTTACTTAATGACCTTTTCTTATAGCTCATCTTACCTTTCGGTCCCTTTCTCCTGAGTGACATGGTACTGCAGGGGGGTTAGCCGCTTCCTTAGTTCCTGCTGGGAAAAGACCACCTTACAGTTCTTTTTATCCCTACATGACCCTGGAAAAAGAGAGGATATGGGAGAAGGCGTCTTTTTAGCTTGGACCCTGAATCCTTGCTTTGGCTGGCCGCCACAGCCCAGCTTTCACAGTCCCTGGTCAACCACCAGGCCAGCCCCTAGCACACCAAACTTCCTTGAACTGACTGCTGACTATTTCTCTCAGTTTAAAGAGAATCTTTCTCAAGATTCAGGGGATTCCAGTGGAGCACTGACAAGGTGCTAGAGCCAAAGACACTAGCATGCAAGAGGAACAACTCCTGGAACATTCACAAAGATGGTGGCGCATCCTTTGCATCTCCTAAAACCATGACCTTCTTTTTTCAAAAAAAATTCAAGAAGCATTATTCCATTTATAAGCATTTACACCGTATATATATAAGATGATGGGCATAGTATGTTAAATAATAACTCCCCATTCAATAATTTTGCGACTCAGTAGAATAGCTTGAAGCTGCCATTTAATTTCCATTCTGGGTGATTTAAATACCATCCAAATTTTTTTAAACCCTAAAGATGCATCTTTCCCATAACTAGGAATTGCTGCTCTCTGTGATTCTGTCAGACACTGCACTAGGTTCTGTGGAGCCCTGAAAAACGAATGTCTTTTAAAGACTGTATCTTGCCATGTTAAGCAGGCAGCAAGACAATTTTAATAGACTCCAGAAGAAGGCATTTACACTAATGTAGATTCAATAAGCTCCAAAGAAAAGGTGAGAAAAATAGGGAGGGGGGGAAAAAGACAAAGAGAAAAAGAAAAGGGAATGTGATTTTATTTAGAGACCTACATCTTCCTTTGGCAAAGCGTATCTTGGAAGACTTCACTGACTGAGTGTATTTGGATGGTGAAATATTTTTAATGTGATTCTAATAACAATGGCATCTTTTGTTTCAACCTATGCAGACTGCAGCAAAATGTTCAGACAACACCTGTTTATATGTAGTATTTTATTTTGCCTACACAAATGATTGGAAAAGAAATATAACTCCGAGACAGGGCAACCCTTGCTCGCTGCAGTAAAATTGCTTTTTTTTTCCCCCTTTGCCATCCATCACAGTGGGAAAGAGGGCCCCATGTGCAAAAATTTCTTACCACGTTTTGAAATTACTAAAAGAGAGTTTGCTTCGTTCCCTGAACACTAAACTCAACTTCCTCTGAAATCAAAAGAATTATGATTCAGAATAGAAATGTTTTCTCCTTCTTTTACTTGTAAGCCCCCTGATGTCATAGTATGTGAGATCACTGAAATTAAACCAGGAGAAAAGGGACTAACCAGTTACCCTGACTGCGGGATGGAAAGGGCATATCAGCTTCCAGGATCAGGGCCACCAAGATAGAGTGGTTGATTCTCTGTAAGAAAATACAGAGGCTGGAAGAGGGCTAAGCAGGGCCACGCAGAGCGCACCTTGGAACAGGCCTGTGGGTTGTCAAAGAGCGCCTCTCCTGACCTTCCACGGAGCATGCTGGCCCTGCTCTGGCCTGGAAAGATCCACAAGAACAGTTGGCATACCATTAATGGCGTGCTGGTCTCTCATCTCAGGGGAACCCATATTATACTAGGCTTTCTCTGAACACCTATTACTTACATAGTATTTTCCAAGGGGTAGATGAGGAGTGTTCGTCCTGTCAGAACAAGCCACCGGAGAGCCTGAATGCTGAGCTGCTCTTTGTTACGTAGCAGTTGACAGGGGGGTGGGGGGGACACAGCTGGGTTTCTGCTCCATTCACTCCAGACTTCATAAAATTATTTTTTGTGTGTATTTCTTTATCAGTTGGAAGGGTTGCATCTTTGTGGATTTTGTCCCCCAAAATTCACTAACTGCACGTCTAACATGACAGAATCTATTGGTTAAAAGCATTCTGTCCAATGGCATGGATAATTAAAATCTATACAATTAGAATTAAACAATTCTGTCCAAAAATTTTTTTTTAATATACATTCATTCATACAAAAAGACCAATTGTGTTCCCAAAGTTGAGAGAACTAAGCTACCCATCTGTATGTCATTTAGTACAAGAGAAGCAAACTGCAGGTTTAAATTACATGGTATTGGATTGCAATTTCCTAACATTGGATGCTTTTCTGCTTTTTTACCTTGAGTCATTTACTAAGGAGTGTTCATAAAAAGTAGCTTAAAGCACAGATGCTTGCAAATCGTTTAGGCAAAGATGTTTCTCTCTTTTTCTTTCTCCCTCTCTTAAAACTCTCTCTTTTCTGAAGAAAGAGAATAAAATTGTTGGTCAGTATTGACGAACCGTGTCAAGTATTTGTACAGAGAGAAAAGGTAAAATTGAAAACATCTGATTGAAGTAAATAATACAAACATAAAAGCTCTACTCGTGAATGAAGGGTATTGAGGAGACTTTATTTCATAGATTAGAAATTACTTTTGATCTAAACATTCTTAAAAACAGATTGTTTTCCACGATGAACCTTCTCATTAACTGTGCTACAGAGACCTCGGTTTAATGACCAGCTCTGAAAGGGTGCTGCTGTGCTCTTTTGTCAGACCCCATCTGATTTGGGAGGGGGATAAAGATTTCATTCCAGCTTTCTTTGTTTGTCTTTCAAGAACCACTAAAGCAGCATTCACACAAATTTTGTAGGAATGTGCCCTATGTCATAGCCTACAAATTATTTGGTTTTGGTGCACTTAAAGGTCATCTTCCAAATTAGCAAAATTTTCCTATATCCTGGCTTTTCAACCTTAAATATAAATATTGTTTCCTAACTGTAAGTGAGGGGTTTTTTTTCGTTAGGAAATGCTAGTGCTTATTTAAAGTTGTCAAACTTTGTACGTTTTCATTCTTTGGCCGTACCATGTTCTCAAAATAATTAGGCTTTTAAAGTGTACCTAATAGCAGAAGGAAGGATATGTAGACTAGAAACAGCAATTGTGATTTTATATTAAACAACCCAGTGAGCAGTTAGTCAGACTTTAATAAATTTCTTGCCACACAGTTTAATAATACACTTCCTGGACAATTGAAAACTCTACAATTACATTAGTTCTTCTAGCATCATAACCTAAAACTGACATATATAAATACAGAAAGGCTTCTCTTTTGTCTCTCATTTCCCTTCTCCCTCTCAGACTCACTTCCCTAAAGTCATATGGTGCCACTGTTAATTTTGAAGAAATCATTTCATTTTGAAATTCTAGAATAATTCATTGGATGGTTTCCCTTTACTATCTTCACTTAGGAACTGTAATTTTCTTATTACACAGGGTAATTTAACATTAGTATTATATGACATCTGTTCAATGACCTCCAAATTGGCTTAGAAGTATGCTAGGGAAAGATTTTTCCTTTATTTAAATGTTTAATACACTACTTCGAAGGCACAAGTGACGTGTGTATATATGTGCAACACGAAGCATATTTGAGGGGGTGACACTGCTATTTTGGTATCTACTCATCACACCCTTCCCTACAGAGCAACTTTGGTATAGAGAAGATCCATCCTGAACCCCACTCAAGGGTATTTATTTGTTGAAAGATGCCCAAATTCTCTTTTTATATTGACGCTTGTTCCATTGAGGCTTGCTACTATGATCTTGAAGCTCTAATGGAAAGCTCTTGCTCTAAGTAGAAACAGACTTACAGCAAAAAACACATTCTGGCTCTGCCTGCTTCCCAGTCCTGTGACCTTAGGCAAGTAAGTCTCTTGTCCATGTACTGACACCCTCACAGGCCTGCTGTAAGGATCACAGCAATTATCACTTAGCAAACACTTTCTGAATAAATGCAGTATCACATTATCATTCTGATTACAGTAATTCTGAAGTTAAAAACGTATTTTGAAAGGTAGCCAGGTCAAGTATTTCAGTGTGCTGCAATATCTTATTGATGATTATTTTTATAATAATTCTCTCAGAACAGTATTTTTCTAACAAATTGACTTCAAGAATGATTAAAATAAGAATGAAAAGAAAACTAAAATTTGAGTATTTACTCTGTGCCAGGCACATTTCTAGGCATTTTTATGTAACCACATTTAATCCTCTCAAAAATTCAAGGATATAGATACTATGCCCGTTCTACAGATATTAAAACTGAGGCTCAGAGAGGTTGTAAAATAACTTAGTAAGGACAAACAGAAAACAGAACTAGCAAGTCAAACCAGGGCTCTCTGACAGCAAAGTCCAAAGTCATTATATTTCCTGTGAGGAAAAATTATGCTACAACTTTCTTCTTTCTTCTTAAATTATGCAATAACTTTTTAGCTCCAGAACTATCACTAACAAGTAATAGAGGAGAAAAGTAATAACTGCCTCAGTACATCCAGAAAAATAAATACATTTGTCTGCTAGCCCATGTCTGTTTTCCCTGTGTTCATTCCTTCAACATAGGGTCATTGACAAGGTTCAAATGGGATTCTCACAAAGTCTATAAAATGCTGAAGGCTTTTTAACTTCAGTAAATCAGATCTGTTACTTAAGTCTTAGAACACTTTTAAGTCATAAATCTTACATTCAGTGTGAAAACTCAAAACAAAACAAGACCCAAAGATCCCATAACTTTAATTTTGGTTCTAGGATCAGAAAAAATGAAGCTATTAAATATTTTCCCAAGATAATAAATAAATAAAAGATGACAAGACCATCTTGTTTTGCTTTGACTTTGCCGAGTTTAAACAGTAAAATTCATGTTAAAATGGCTTGCTACTATATTTCAAAGTGGTATACCTTAATTTTCATTATGACTTTCAATTTTTTCTTGGTTATTAGTCTGTCATATTGGAAAGCTGAACACTATCCAGATATGATAGTGTTAGAAATTTCTAAATTAAGTGGGCATTTATAAAAGCCAAATCTAGTCCATTTTTAGAAGAGAATGTATTTCATGAACCCCCTATACCTATTTGTTTGTTTGTTTTACTTTCCAGCAATCAATAAAGGAAACGTCAAGCACAGGGAAGAAAAGCTTTCCTCTTTGTGGAAGCATGCCTAATTCTGATTCTTCTCCCCCAGGAGATGTACACAAGAAAAATAGTCC